ATGAATTTGCCCTAAAAAAAATTAAAACAAAACCCATACTCACAATCTAAATTGCAGAGTTCAAAAAAATTGTAGATTTTGAACTTCTGATTCTTGTAGATTTTGTAGTTTGTAGTTGCAGAGAGAGAAGGGGGGGGGGGGGGGGGGGGGAACGAGAATACAGATTGAGGCGGGTTTTGAACTTCTGATCCTTGTAGATTGAGAACGATAATAGAGATAGAGGCGATTGGGAGGCTGAAATGATTTGGCCTAATAAAAATTATCTCCGCTACAGTAAAAAAGATGGGACTGGAACAACATAGAACACCAAATTGTTGTTCCACCTTTTTGGGGCAAATAGTGGATGTGTTCTGAAAGTGTTCCACTACTGTTGAGAACACAACAAAACGGGCCAAACAATATGTGTTCTGAAATGGGCTACTGTAGCACTGTAGGGAACAACACAGAACATGGTAGAACAAACACCAAACAGGCCCTAAGTATGTTAAGTTTAAAAAATGTGGCAAAGAATGAATTAAGGTCTATATTTTGTTAGAAAATGACCTTTAAGAAGTTTATTTTCTTAAAACACCCTTTTGTTTTCTCCAAAATGCCCTTTATACCATTTTATACATAAATCACATTTCCCTCTTTTCGCAAACCCATCAGGGACGGATCTAAGAATTCTTTGTTTTTTTTTTTTTTTTTTGGGGTGGGGGGGGGGGGGGGGGGATTTATATAGAGAGATTTTTTCATAATTTAAAATTTTATGAGTATAAATAAAAAAAGTATAAATTAAGGGGTGTAAAATTCAATAATAAAAAATTTCAATGGGAGCAGCCCTTCACAAATCCGTCACTGAAACCCATCTCCTTCTTACTCTAGCCTATCTCTTTCTCACTTTCTTTATGATCTCTCCTTACTCCAAAATCTTTATTGATTTCAAAGGCAAAGTGAGAAAAACAGTCCTAATGTTTATATTGTGGGTAAATAATACCCATATCATTTATATTTATATTTAGGGTTAGGCATCACCTTTTTTTTTTTCTTTTCTTTTTTTTTCCAATTACATAAGGACACTTTATTCTTTTAATCGTTTCATTGACAACAAGCCCTTATTCGTACCAAAAGTAAATGTTATGAACTTTTAAGAACCTAATAAGAGTTATATACCCTATATGCATACTATAGAGATATTTATTACTCACGATCCTAGTACCTATATAAAGGTAAGAGTACAACGTGTGTGGGTTAGGGGCTCAACCATTGTCCAACTCAACTCAATCATAAATTAAAGATAATTTACCCGAGCCCAATCCATTCTTAATTTTTAAAGCTCGACTTGAATTTAGGCTAAAATTTTGAATTGAATTTGGACTTTTTACTTGAATTAGAATCTCATGTAATAACAAATAAAATAATCTAAACTTTTTCACAAATGAAATAGACTAAGATATTAGCATGACATAAATAATAAATGGATAAAAAATTAATATGTTCAATATGTAATTATAAATAGATATAATAAATTATTATATATATATATATATATATATATATATATATCGGGTTTGTTGGGTTTTGTAAATCCAGAAAGACTTGAATTAGGCTTCAAATTGCTAGTCACATTAACTTGAGACCATCTAAAAAGATAAGCGGGCCTTGATTTTCAATTTGACCTGAAGTGCAATAACCATTGCATCCAATTTCAGAAAATTTCAAGTTGGGTTGGGGTTTAATCCGGCCGAGTGAGTTACAGTAAAGCCACTCGAACTCTCATCGCCCTTCGGATCGGGTGCTTAACATGAGACCGAATTAAAGACTATGTCCTGACTCTAATACAACTGTAACGACTTACTCATTTAACTAAAACTTTAAACTATCAAGTATGGTTATATATCCGTCAATTTACACTCATTTTACTTTTCATGAGTATCTAATGTGAGACAAGCTACCCTTCTTACACTTTATTACATTGACACGTGCAAGCTGGAGAAAAGGGGATCTCCACTTCCTCTCTCACATATTCCTTAATATATTTGGCTCCTAACCCTAACCCCCACCCCATCTCTCCATGGACTCTCTCTGGTTCTGATTTGTTCGTCATGAGGATGCCAAAAGAACAACGGAGTCGGCGCATTGACGCCGGCGGGTCTACACCGCCGCAGCTTCCCAGTCGTCCAAGATCAAGACCAACTACAATAACACATGAGGGACACCGTGATTCATCGATGATGATGCAGCTTGAGGCGAGGCTCACAGCCATAGAAGAAACACAGAAGCAAATTCTCGACCTCTTGGCTCACCGGAATCTCCAAATCCCAATTCCCAATCAAAACCCTAATTCACTTCCTCCTCCTAATTCACAACCATTGAGCTCTGCTAGCATCAACCAGCCCGCTCTTTCACCATTTGAACAGCTCACTGCCATGACCATTGTCCCAAAACATCATTTCGGGGGTTCACTTCCTCCTTATTCACAACCATTGATATCTGCTAGCACCAATCATCTCAGTCCACCATTTGAACAGCTCCTTGCCATGTCCGATGATCCCAAAACACCAGAATATGTCATTGGTCTACCCTATCCTCAAGGTTATGAAACCCCAAAGTTCAAGCTTTTTGATGGCAGGAAGGGAAATGCTAGAGCCCATGTGCTGCAATTCATTGATGCGTTGGGAATTCATGGTGGTGATGAAGAGGTAAGAATGCGTGAGTTTTCCAAATCGTTGACGGATCGAGCTTTCACTTGGTGGTATTGTCACCAACCTCCAGGTTCAATCCCTACCTGGACAGACTTGGTCACTAAGTTTATGGCCAAATATGGAGGGTTACCGGAATGGGATTATCAATATGCAGCCGTCTCCGACTCCGACTCCGACTAGTTGGGAAAAAGACTTGGTTGTGGTTTTCGGTATGGGGGAGTTGTTAGGAAAGGTTTAGTTGATGTTTTTGTTTTGAAAATACAGGCCGACCTAAGTAGTTGGGAAAAAGGCTTGTTATGAAAGTATTTAGCGACCAAGTATTTCGAGTAAAAAAGAAGAAAAGGCTTGGTTATAGTTTTTGTCATGTAAATATGTAGCCGATCCTAAATAGGTGGGAAAAAAAACTTGGTCGTTGTGGATGTATTTCCATGGAGAGGAGAAAATTGGACTGAATGAGTGGTGGTTGTGAAATGTCACATCTTTTGTAGCATGCTTCTTCATGTAATCTTTATATATAATATATGGTTTATTATTCTCAATTCAGATTTCACAGGATGTTCCAAATGCGCTCTGAATCAGATAGCTAGTCTCAATCTTTACTCTTGGTGCTGATCAAATGTTAGATGTGTGTTATTACTAATCATTTGACAAGGATCTATAGGAAGCATCATATTCTTTTTCACGACATTAGTTAGATATAATGTCACATTTGTTTTCGTTGTTTCTTGTTTGAATCCCCTCGTTTTACTAGCCATTAGCTTTTTTTTTTTTTTTTTTTTTTTCTCACTACCATTCTCGAAATCTTGCCTAATGCGTGGGAGATTTCATGACGTCCGGAAATACTTGGGAGATCAGGGAGTTAAGATCCAAAGCCACCACAACAAAGGTAGACCTGTTTGTAGCTATTAGCTTTTTGAATTTACACATTACAATAAGTTGGCTGTTCTCAACTTTCTAATTCAATTTGAATATAGCCAGTTCACAAATGCCTCCATTGATCCTCTTATTAGTTCTGACGATCTCCATTTTCTTCTATGGAAGACTGCATGATGGTGAAAGCTAGTCAGAGTCCAAACAGGAAATTCTTTTCGGTTCAAAAGCGCCCTCATAATCTGATCTCTTCAACAATTAAGAGCAGAGAGTTAAGCTAATACAGTGTATACAACAACAAACCACCAAGCTCTTTCCCAATTACTTGGGTCGGCTACATGAATTCTATGTTTCCATTCCTCCGCTTTATTTAGAGCCATAGCCTTAGTCGATCCATATAGTAGGTCAAAAGTATTTGATAGAAGGTAGATATGAAAACGAAGGTTAAATATTGTGGGAAATTTTCATCAACCAGTTGTTATAGTACCAAGTCTCCAGCAGCCTTAAAACTCAAAGATAAAAAAAAGGAACCTTTATGTCCTTGTGTACCTGAGATTTCAAGACTATTAGAAATGCCAAACAGAATTAAACAATCGTTTAACAAACAAGTTCATGCTAATAAGAGGAAGAATCATTAAACGAGTTCTTGAAATCCCATAGACGCACTAGAACTCAACGCGAGCAGTATCAGAATTGAAAAAGTTCAATCAATTACATATATACAAGCCCTTCAGACATTTGGGCTTTCCTAAATTATTGGTTTTCAAGTTTTGTTCACAATCAACCAGAAGTTATTTGAGTATAATTAACAGCTCTCTCTTTAAGAAGCTTTTAACTGTTCTCATGACCACTAAAACACACAAAGGGCATGACTTGAATTCGACTTCAAGTAAGGGGTTCTTGATGTAATAGACTCATGTTTACATACCATTTCTGCAATCAATGTGATAATGATATCCTGATTATATCAGAAATATTAGTCCTGGACTCATTATCTCTAAGTCTGGCTTTTTAATTGCTTCACCAAAAATATATATATATATATATATAAATGAATCGTATTTGTTAGACAGGTCATAGATGTACATAGTGGCCCCCTATTTGTTAGACAGGTCCATCATGTATCCTTAAAATTGCAGTGGGAAGTTATCTGCTTTACAACAAAAATATCAAACAGAAACACAAACAACAACAAGAACTGCAAATGTTGCAGAGGAAGTTTCTTCCAAAAGTTAAAAACCAACCCTTAGCTATATGGATCATTGACAAAGAGTGCAAAACAAACAAAATTTAATTATCTTCCTTTTACGGTTTCCTATCGAAACACTCAACAACTAGAATTAAGAAGAAGTTAGGGTAAAGTTTCTTATTCTTATCTCTTCTGTTATTGAATTTTTGTTTCTACTAATCCTTCTCGTCTTACTTTCTATATATAGAGAAGAGTGTCTCCACATAGACAACTCAATACAGAGATATATAGCTCCAAGCTTTTTGTCCTGCAAGCATGTTGAGAGATGGATTTATCATTTCCTTTCCATTCCTTTCTTGCCTTCTTTCTCTTATCTTGACAGGTCTTTTAGCTGTAAATGGAGATGTCCAAAAGGTGTCACTAAGTTCTAGCTTCTATTAATTCTCTACATATTTTATGGTCGTGTCATCGAATATCATGACAAATAATTTCACTGCATAACTTGCAGGACTTTTACATTGTTTTCATGAGACATCATCCAGTTAATGAAGAGACTGTGCGTCAGTCTCACATCGACGTCCTCTCAATGTTGAAGGGAAGGTTGGTTGAATCCCTCTCCCCTCTGTGCTCTATCCTTGTATACATATACACACATATATATGTGTGTGTGTGCACATCATCTAAATATATTAATGCACATGGTGAGTGTTTGTGTGTGCGCACATCATCTAAGTATATTGATGCATATGGTGAGTAGCATGTATGTGTATATGTAAGTATATTTGTAAACACAAGCATACACATATCTAAATGGGCACAGTTACATCATCTCCTCTGCCTAATACATAACTATACATATACACACATATATGTGCACATCATCTATACTGATGCATATGGTGAGTAACATACAAAAATATATGTAAGCATTTCTGTATACATAACTATGCAACATCTAAGTTGGGCACATTTTCTTATCTCCCCTGCCTAATGTTGTTTACTCAAAATGTTTCTTGATAAATAAGAGTTTGTTCATAATATATGAAACAGTGATGTTGAGGCTAAGGAGTCCCATGTTTATAGCTATACAAAAAGCTTCAATGCGTTCGCTGCAAAGCTATCTCAAGATGAAGCCAACGAATTATCCGGTCTGTGTTAACTATTGATATTTGATCATGTTTAATTATATAAACAAATCGGATTTAAATTCATTTAAGCTATTGATGTGAATTCATAGGCATGGATGGAGTGCTTTCTGTTTTCGTGAACAAGTATCACAAGCTACACACGACTAAATCATGGGAATTCATCGGATTACCTGCATCAGCAAGAAGAAAACCGAAAATGGAGAGCAATATTACTGTTGGTCTATTAGATACAGGTTCAATGGTCCTGTTTTTTACTCTTATTCCATTTGTTCTTTCTTTTTTAATTTGATGAACAATATAGTAAATATTACTTGTATAATCCGAAAGCGATCATGCTATTGGCTTGCCAGGGATTACTCCACAGTCAGAGAGCTTTAAAGACGATGGATTTGGTCCTATACCCGCGAAATGGAAAGGAGGAAAATGTGGCCACTTTGCTAATTTTTCAGGATGCAACAAGTAAAATATTGGTGTCCTTTTCATTTGGTTTTCTTTTAAAAACAATAATCAACTAAAGGTCTTTTTGTTCACATTGTTTGTGCTATTAAAGGAAGCTCATAGGAGCCAAGTACTTCAAGCTGGACAACAATCCGGACCCAAGTGACATACTTTCTCCTATAGATGTGGAAGGCCATGGGACACACACATCCTCAACCCTAGCCGGAAATGTTGTCGCGAATGCAAACCTGTTCGGACTTGCTAGAGGGGCAGCTCGGGGGGCAGTGCCATCTGCAAGGGTGGCTATGTACAAAGTGTGTTGGGTTAGCAGTGGTTGTGCAGACATGGACATTCTTGCCGCCTTTGATGCTGCTATTCACGACGGTGTTGATGTCATATCCATCTCCATTGGTGGCCTAACGGCTGATTATGTAACGGACACTATAGCAATAGGAGCATTTCATGCCATGCAAAATGGGATCATCACTGTTGCTTCTGCTGGAAATGATGGACCAAACCTGGCTACTGTGGCTAACCATGCCCCATGGATTTTTACCGTGGCAGCAAGTGGTTTGGATCGGCAGTTCAGAAGCAAAATTGTTTTAGGCAACGGAAAGACCACCTCGGTAAGTATTACATATATACATATATGTAGATACACACACACGCTTATATGGTGGTTGAGATTTATAATGATGCCATTACTTGACACGCAACTCTATATGGTGTAAACCAAAATCCCTTTAAGAATTTTCATAGTTACACTAGGGTTGACAGACAGTCATGTACATTTTGGTGACAAAATGGTTACACCCATCAACAATTTGCTATGTAGAGGGAGATTTTATATGCATACATATATATATGTGTGTGTATATAATACATATATATGGTGTATACAAAAATTCCACAAGAATTTTCATATATAGTTACACTAAGGTTCATGGTCATGTACATATTTGGTGATTAAAAATGGTTCCACCCACCAACAATTTGCTATATAGAGGCCGGAGAGTTGAACGAAATGGAGAACCCAAGGCTCCCCATTCCTAAGGTTTTCCATTTATTGCACACACTCAACTAAGAGTGATATGGCACCCACTGTTAAATGGGGCATTCAAACTTTTCGGTATGAGTATCACCTCTCTGTATAAATAGATACTCGTATGGCGAATTGAGAGATGGATATTAGTGCAACAGTAAGGTTGTTTATTGTGACTACGGAGGTAAGATTGTGTTCATCTGACTCTCCACAAACTCATAATGTTGAGAGTTTCGAGCACTAGACTAGAATAGACCTGCTTATGCAGTGAATTGACCAGAAATAAGGCGCGTGTAATGCAGGGAGTCGGAGTGAACACATTCAATCCGAAACAAAAATCATACCCACTTGTCAATGGGGCTGATGCAGCCAAGACTTCTTCAAGCAAGGAGAGTGCAAGGTACCATTTTGTTGATCATTATAGGGCTTTCAAGAAACTAAGAACTATTTTAATTTAGAAATTGTTGCAACTATATATATATATATATATATATGATTACAGTTATTGCACGGAGGACTCAATTGACCCTATGAAGGTGAAGGGAAAGCTTGTCCACTGCAAACTAGGAACATGGGGTGCTGATTCTGTTATTAAGGGTATTGGAGGGATTGGTACTATCATTGAAAGTGATGCCTTCCTTGACGCTGCCCAAATTTTTATGGCACCAGCAACAATGGTCAATGATACAGTTGGTGCAACCATTACTGAATATACGCACTCCACAAGGTATATATATAATTACCCTAAAACACTAGCAGAAGGACTTTTATCCCCTAGATAGGTTTTAATGCTATTCTAGTCGATAAGTTAGATCTAAAACACTAGCCGAATGGATTTAACCCCTTAGATGGGTTTTATGTGATAAACATGGGTCTCATTTGAAATATATTAAAACATATCTAAAGGTAAATAAGACTCAAATACCGTTTTGAGTCTAACTTATCGGCTCAAATACTGTTTTTCATGCTAGAATATAAAAGTTCGACTATTTGATCCAATAAATGACTATTGACCATCTTGTATTCAATTTAGATCACCATCTGCCGTGATATACAAGTCCCAAGAAGTTAAGATCCCAGCTCCTTTTATTGCTTCATTTTCATCCAGGGGTCCTAATCCAGGATCAAAACACATACTCAAGGTGTGTGTGTGTGTTTTAATGTTTCATCCTCAACTGTATGTATGACCAACCATATAGTTGATCATTAAGCCTGTTTCTTTGATGAAAATGAAACTGCAGCCTGATATTGCAGCACCAGGCATTGACATCTTGGCATCATACACCCCTTTCAAGTCACTTACCGGGCTGAAAGGTGACACCCAGTACTCAGATTTCACTCTCATGTCCGGGACTTCCATGGCATGCCCACACGTTGGCGGGGTAGCTGCATATGTGAAGTCGTTCAACCCAAAATGGTCTCCGGCTGCTATCAGATCCGCCATCATGACCACCGGTACTGAAAACGAGCAACCTTAATTCTCTGTTCTTATGCCTAGCAATGTGTATATAACTTTCTTGCTTTTGTAATGTTCGTGTATCAAAGCTACACCTATGAGCAAAAGGGTGAACAATGAAGCTGAATTTGCCTATGGTGTGGGACAAGTGAACCCTAGAAGAGCACGGAGCCCTGGCTTAGTCTACGACATGGATACGATATCATACGTTCAGTTCCTATGCCATGAAGGCTTTAAAGGATCTAAAATAGCCGTCTTAGTAAATGATTCCAAGCCAATTAATTGCTCTGCATTGCTGCCTGGAATTGGTGATGATGGTCTCAACTATCCCACTATGCAACTCCCATTGAAAGACAAAGCGCCAAGAACAGCGGTTTTCCGGAGGACAGTCACTAATGTAGGTCCTTCCAACTCCATCTACAATGCCACCATTAGAGCCCCCAAAGGAGTGGAGATTGTTGTGAAGCCGACGAGTCTCTCATTCTCTCGTGCCTCGCAGAGGCGGAGCTTCAGTGTTATGGTGAAGGTGAAACCAACGTCAAGTACACAGATGATCATTTCAGGTTCACTCGTATGGAGAAGCTCTAGGCACTGTGTTAGGAGTCCAATTGTTATTTATTATAATCCAGAAGATACGGAAATGAAAAAAATGACTGAATTAAGGAGCCAAATGCATGAATAATGAGCAAAATGGAGGATGCATGCATGCTCCAATTACATCATGTACTATATGGAATGTGTGTGTACATGTATATGCTAATGTACTTGTGTATGAAGTGTTGAAAATATGGTATTTGGGTGTAGCATTTATTTTCAATAAGCAAAGGTATTTGAACCCTTTTTAAGTGATTAGTTAGGTTAGTGAAACCCTTTTAGCATTTCTCTTTGCAAATACTTTATCTCATTCTTTTTTTATTCATGAATCAAGAACTAATGTCATTTTATAGCATTACTTATTCCTAACACTTCGATTCTTTTTAGTTATGAATCAAGAACTAATGTCATTTAACTATAAAAATGAAGTGCATTTGTCGGGGGTAAAAAAACAAAGAAGCGCGAATACCACCTCCCTTTTAAAAATCTAGTAAGAGAATCAACCTTTACCACCTACATTTTGGTGTGGGGGAGAGTCACAAGCACTAATATTTGGCAGACTCATTGACTAGAATTGCTCAAGTTTGAAGCATTGCATATCAAGAGGGACAGAGCTTGCAAGATCTCACTAGTCCACATAGATTAGAAAGTTGACATCAGTATCTATAAACACACATGATAATAGCAAATCGCCCATTTGTCATCATCTTAAAGGCACAAAAAACTTTATGAACTAGATTATGGTTCTCCAAACATTAATGGAGCGAGAAATGAATAATTGGCTTCTCTTTTGCAGGGTGGAAACAACATGTCATCCGTTTGTGTACATAAAAATTTAATAAAATATAAGGCATATGTAAAAACAAAAAGAGAGAGAACCAGAGTGACGAGCAGGGCATTTTCTTTCATTTCTATCAGACCTTTTGTTTTCCTTTTCTGAGTCTTTCTAGCTCGGTTTCGGCGTCTTGTAACTGTTTCCTTAGTGTTGATACTCTCTGCTCCAGTTCTTCCACTGTGCCTTTACCGGTTGGAGGTTGATATTTTGATAGAAAATTATGTGAAAATGATTTCAACGCTTCCACCCCGGTAACCTGCAAAACCCACATTTAATGATCAAGGAGCTGATGAAAAGATCCGTGAAATTTCTAACAACTTTATATGGAGTGACAAATTTAGAATCTAGCAGTTAATTGAAGGAAAAACTGGATTTGGACAATAATTTAATGAAACAGGAAGCCAAACTAAAAGTTAAGATGTTACACCATCACTTTTTCAAGTAAGCTGGAAAAGAAAAAAAGAAAAAAAATAAAATGAAAAGCAATAGCCTAATCGGATAATAGTTGAAGCACATTTACTTCATTTTTACTTGAAAATTAATAGAATATTTGGGCTCATGAAGAAATCATATTACAATTATTTGAGATACAGTATTTAAAAAATAATTAAAGAATCTTGAAACTATAGTTTACCTCCTCTGGCAGCAATGGCAACTTAGTGATGTGAAAGTCATCGTACAACATGTAAAACTGATCAAGGTATTTTTGTTGCATCTTCATTCTAGCTTTAAGCAACTTAGACTCAGTACCTACAAAATCAAGATCAATTAGCAGCAAGAATATTAAATGAGAAAGAATTGCTGGTGCAACAGACATTGTAAATGCACCTTCTTCATCAAAAAGTACTTGGTTAATAATGATATTGTGTGTGTCTATCTCAAACTTTGTCAACTCCTGCACGAGTCTCTCTGTTTCATAGAGAGAGAGGAACTCCGGAATGCAAACACAGACAAAGGTCGTCAAGTCCTGCCAATAAGAAATACAAGCGCATTATATAGACAGTGAAACTTAAATATTATCTTCAATTTTTTTTTCCTCAAGTCAAGATATGTGAATATTATCCTATAATTCCGGCGACTCTTCCAGAGCAACAACTTTCATTACCCTTCGGAACTGAATCGAAAAGGCAAAACTAAAAATAAATAAATTATGACTAGATTTCTAAGTTGCATTAGCAAAAAAATTCTAGAGAAACCATCTCTGAGTTACTAATCAACCTATCTGACTTCAAATATGCTGAATATAAAAGACCAACTATAATACTGCTACCTCACCTGAAAGCTTTGAAACACAAAAGCAAACTATATTACCAAAAACCCAACCACAATGCTGTAACATCTCTTAAAAGCTTTGGATCACAAAGCTGACTACATCAAGCTCAGAAGAAGGTTTCCGATAATTGACACAGCACGGTTACCGGAAGTGTCTCTATGTATCAAACATTTCATGATAAATGCATCCAGGAGAGAGAAGCAATCTCCATTTGGTACAACTTCCAAAATAATGTGGAGTCCTTCAAGGGGGGAAGGGTATAGATGGAAGTATTCTATAGGAGGGCCTTTGACATTAAAGTGGCATTTAATGGATTAACAACTTGAAGTTCCTTATTTGCAAACTTCTCTTCCATCGTCAGTATGTAGTTTTGAAGAAAAAAATTAAATATACAATGAAGTCATGCAATATGATTCTTTCTTAATATATACTCCGTATATATATATTTTAAAATCTTTTCATGCTTTAACACTTTCCCATTATTTTTGACGCGGTAATTTTTTTTTTTTACTATTCATAGTAAAGGTCTCTGTTCATGTCCAAAGAATATTCTTTATTTGCTTTTAATGAGCAGGAAAAGGAAAAACTTTACTAACCAGAAGTTGACAAGAATCTAATTCCAAGAATTTGATAAAATGAGATGGGACTCATGATGTTAGATTCATAGATGCTTTGAATGTTTGCAGTAGATGCCCAGATGGAGAGAGCTAAGAAATCTAATATGATGTAGACATATCAAACCTTGAGTTGAATAATTAACCTCTGAAAGACAGAGAGGACATTTCTAGAGCTGATAAACAAACCATCTACTTCTTGCACAGCAGCACAGCTGTGAAAATCATGTATTATTCCTCTCAAGAATTGGCTCCATAAAGAATAAGTTTGTAAATCAAATAAAAAGGAATCAAAGGACTGCTAAATGAGCAGATATGACCAACTAAAGAAATCCAATCTGGTTCAAAATGTTCCACTAAAGTGTCTCCTCAGCTTCCCGAATTTGAGATTTTAAAAGCTACACTGACCAAGTTTACAGAATGAGCTTTTGCAAGAAATAACTTCGTAGCATGAACTCATGAAACAGTCAGAATTTCTCTAAAAGTTCTTCCAGGGCCAGAATCCCATTCCGAGCCTTCCCAAGAAGGCCCTGCCAAGCACACAAAACACTGGCAAAGCATTTTAGAGATCATACATTGAAGACAAAACCATTCATGCTTTCTACATAAAAGTTCACATGATTTTTCTTAAGTTGCAATTCCAAAAGCCTATGATCATGCTATAAACAATTGCAATGTTGCACTTCTAAGATGATGACACTATGCAAGAGCATCTGGAGTACATGAAAGGGTCGAGTTAGCCAACTAAACTACCAAGACTTCCAACTTAAATCTATTTCTTATACTTCAGTTGAAAATTTCTGTTTTATCTTCATTTTATAGATTGCAATAAAGTGCCTACCTTCTGTACTGAAAATTCACAGGAGGAGGTAATTATTTAATTCACCAAGTGCACAAGTTTTAGTCTAAGAGTAGTCACTTATGCAAAATATGAATGATTTGATCTACTACTACCAAGCTACCTCTGTCAGCATCTTGCATAGGAAGGCCTAACAGCTAGTAATGGTTTTTTTAGGTATAGGTTTGAACCTCTTGCAGAAAGTGGGCAGCAGATTGATAACCTAACCGTATAAAAGATTAGATAAGTGATTTTTTGCTTTAGTGGACTTTCTGGATGCCTGTGATACCCTAAGACTGGCAAGTGCTTTTCCTTCACTTTCCTCGCTCAATGTAATACCTCTTTGCCTCCTCCATTTAAGTCTGCTTTGAAGGAGTTCAGAGGAGAAAGTGCTTTTCTTTCACTTTATGAGTATTGCACTCCCTGTGAGGAGAAAGTGCATTAAAGCTTTGTAGCCTATAGGCCCTATACTAGTTAACAAATATAAGGTACTTACACTCTTAATATCATATTCACCTGCATGATAAATTTAGAGTGACAGCTGCTTTATACTTGCTACACAATATCAATAAATACTTCTATGGTTCGAACCCCTTCGTTTCTCTGATTCCCGGCTACTTTTTAAAGCCCCAATTTCCTGCTTACTTCATTTTATACCTTTTGCACCACACATTTGCTCACTCACAGAAGTTTGAATACAATTTACTTAATTTGACACCAGAAAATTCTAGAAATCTTCAAGGTTGATGAATGGTTTTTAATTTTTTATTTTGCTTCGGTATGGTGCTATTGTTTATCAGAAGGAATTGTTAAAAAACAAGAAAAGACAAACATATACAATTTATTGCAACAGAAAAAAACCACTCGAGTATGGGATCTTACTGGATCCTTGAACTGCTTGTTAACTTGTTCAATCATATCTTTCATGCCCTCAAGCCTTCCAAGGATTGCATCCTCACCAAATTCATCACCGACACCGAAGAGACGAGTCATCTGCCATTAACATTTATCAAAATCTGTCAGTTACATGATCGATATTACCAACAAAGAAATACTAGTCATATGACAACAGTTAGAAGATTACAGGTAAAAATTGTGAATAAATAAATTAGACTTCAAACATGATAGAAGATGTTAACCCAAGGAAAAAAACCTACAGACTGATATTAAAGTTGGAGTATCCATATCTAGCAAAAGCAAAAGATACAATGACCATATTGGCATTAACAACATAATTCCGGTTATTAGCATATGAATTTGATGCTCATGCCCAATTACAACCCACTTTGTAATTCAAAAAGTCATAAGAAATTGCTAACCTGCAAAACCTACAGTAATAATGCAGCCATTGTGTGTGCGTGGGTTGGGGGTTAACTTGATTGAACAAAATTGAAAAACAAAGTTCAACATAGTATGCCCAATATCCATTGAAGTGTTGCAGAGAGACGGGAGAAGAGAGAAAAAAGAGTAAACAGAATATGAACGAGTTTGAGCTTTGGCTTTAAGAAGAACTCCTAAAAAGGGGAATGAGAAAGAAAGACAAACTGAACCAATCTGTGAGATGGAGGTTATAGTAGTAGGAGGTGGAAGTCAGAACAGGCTCCCAGTGGGAATCAGACTTGCTGCACTTCTAGACAGCAGAAGGAAAACCTAATTGCTGCTGCTCAAGCCCATCATCTGAATTGAGAGAATCTCAGAAATAAAATAATATTGGTTAAAACTGCTAAAATCAAAGATAGCTGGTCCAATTCATAAATAGTGACCATCTACATGACATTAAATGGTTTGGAAGTCAAAACACTTTGACGTTTTCTGGGACCAGATGACAGTCACAAACAGTTTCACCCGTTAAAACTTCCTTAAACACGAAGGTTCTGCGAATGGGCCACTCAGCCCAGTGGCCCGGTTAAAATAATGTTTTATGGAAAAGTCAAAATTCTAGGGCTATATTAAAGAAAGGGCACCCTCATACGCTTATCACGGGGTTTCCTTTTGAAATCATAAGTCTGCTGTTTTGACTGGATTGTAGGAAACTGTTAGTTGAGCTTAAAAAACTGTTTGGTTGCTCAGAAAATTTGTGTCATGAAAATATATAAATTGTGTTGAATGTATTATAAGATATTTACATTCTCTTGATTTAGACCTTCTGTTAAATTTAGATATTAAAACAACCTCATCAATTTCTAGGCTTTGTTGCTAATTCATTTCAGTGGATTATAGTATAATTTATTAAATAATTAACTAGATTTTATTCATTTTCTTGTAAAAGAAAAAATATATTTTCAAATGTACACAAGCTTTGATGGATAAAAATACGTTTTGGCCTTTGATATTTGAAAATTTTGAGGTTTAATTTCAAATTTTCCTCAGTGTTTAGAATTTAGGTTAGGGTTTCATTTCATAGCAAAAAATTCTCCTTTTCTCGTGGTCCCAATCATGAAAATTGAGATGGAAAGAGGAGGCATAAATTAGAACCCTACCAAATTTAATATGAATTAAAAAGTGAAATTCTTTGTATGATATGTTTGATGTTAGTCCATCATTTTGCCATTAATGTTTTCCATAGATGAATATGGAGAGTCGTGACGAGAAATTACTAGATGATCTTGGACCATATGTCAATTGGTGGTCTAATCAAATTCTTTCTAACATCTTATTGAACTTTAATAAGTTCACTTTTCTTAGTTAGAAAGTTTTGATTGAACTTGACTACATGATCGAATTCCAGCTAACGATTTCTAGAATTTAAAATTTAACTGAGTGTACATTTGATATATATATATATATATATATATATATATATATATATATATTCTGTTTGTTTATCTATTGGAGTCACTAGCATTACTCTATATTTATTGTGGTCATGTGAACATCAACAACCACATTGGCTTAAATGTAATAGAGTCAGTAGGTAATGGGTTCATTTGGGAATGAAGATGCGTTCAATTTCGGAAAAATGCACAACCACATTAGCTTAAATGTAATAGAGTCAGTGGGTAATTGGGTCATTTGGGATTGAAGATGTGTTCAATTTCGGTAAAATGCATTCACGTGCAAGCTAACTAGCTCAGACATAAAGTGAAAGCCCGGTGCAATGAGTAGCTAACTAGATATGCTCTTTCAATATCCGAGAATAAAAATAGATAAGCCCCTCAGCAACCTCGGAATACAGTCCAGGAGTGCTCAAAACCCAAAAGTTGGGAAATATTCAGATTCAAATCCACTAAGCTAAAAGATCACAGATGAAAAATTCTGGCACTGCAAGGGGAGATGAATGAGTTAGATTTTCACCCGCGGAGTTAAATATTAATGAAGTGGAGTCGTCCCAGAACTCTTCTTTCCGGGAAAGAAGAGTTCATGCCCCCTATGTTTACTGGATTCCCAATCCGATTCGTGAGCTCAAAAAAAGCGCATATACTCTTGGTGTTGTATCTATTGGACCACTCCACAGAGGGAGCAAAAAACACTGCAAGCAGTGGAGGGGGTGAAGTTGAAATACATGAAGAGACTACTAATTAAGAGAAGCAAAAATTTTAAGGCGGCATGAGAGGATTGTCTGCATGCTATTTTAGAGTGGGAACCTTCTGCCAGGGTATACCTTCACACATTTATGATGGCACCGAGCTGTTTCTCAGGAACTCCATTGCTTTTGAGCAACGTTACTGGCCGGATTTTGCACTCCACTTCAAATGCTATGCTTTCCTCATGGATAAACTTATCAACACTCCAGAGGAATTTGAATTACTGGAAAAAGCAGGAGTGGTATATAATTATTTGGGTTCCAGAAAAGAAGTGTGTAGTATCTTCAACAATCTCACTAAGGACTGTGTTTTGCCTAATTTCTACTTTGCTAGGCAATGTAAGCAGGTCGATGATTACTGCGAGAGACCCTGTCCTAAGTTTCTAGTCAAACTAAGACGAGATTATTTTGGCACTAGCTTATCAGTTGTTGCTGCGTTCAATATTTTCTGGCTCACATTGGTGCAGAGTGCAGACCATGTACAGCCTCCCTTGTGCTACTGCTAATCATTGACTATATTTTATTTGTTAAAGTATGGAATTTCTTTTATCGTATTAGTATTTGTTTAGAAAATGTATTTGAACAAAAAGATTACTGGTTAATCAGCCAGGAAGCAAGTAGGTTCTTCTTCAAGAAACTGTCCAGCACAAATAATTGCTCGTCTCCGGCTACAAGGGAAAACCCATAATAAATGGTCGGTTGTCTCAAATGATTAGGTCCAGCAATCTCCCCAGGGCTCCATCCCAACTACTATAATTATTATTCCCACTAGAAATCTACTCAAATGGTATCATCCTTATCCAAATTTGGGAACAGAAAACAGTAATATGAACATTCTAGTTGAAGGATCACAATGTTCTTCTCTCCTCTTCCTTGTTTTCCTTCACAAATTGAGGGTGTCAAAAAGATTGGTTCATCAGCAGAGGATCCAAAAATGGACTATATACCAAGACCTGCTGTTTAGGTAAGAAATACTGTAGGGAAAAGTAAATAGGGATCTAAGCAACTAGACATGCCACTTTCACTCAGCCAACAATTTTCAAAAGATTTATGAAAGAGCCACTAATCATCCAAATGAATTATCATCTCATCATTCCATGAGAAAGCAATTTCTGCCTATATGCTTAATGAAGGCTATTTAACATATATACTTATATTAGAAAAAGGAGACAGAGAGAACAAAAAATTGCACTTCAGCATATATGAGAACCTACATGTATTATCTAAGAACTTTCAGACCAGGGAAAGAAGAACAATAATACCTGACTCAACACGCCACCAAATTTATTCTTCAAGGTCATCATTTTACCGAGTCCTTTCTCCAATGTTGATGGAAATTGCAATAACCGGAGAGTGTGGCCAGTAGGAGCCGTATCAAAAACTATGACGGAATAGTCCATTGTTTGGACCAATCTAATTAAAACATAAAGAAAGAGATCAATAGAAGTAAACTGTGCAGCATAAGACAATCTACAATGAAAAATCAGTCAACTTCTAACCGACATATTAAGTTATAGATTACAAAATTCATTTTATAAAAAAATGGAAAGATATGGAATTTGACTAATAATCCCCCGCACTTCAGTGGTGATGGGAAAAGTTAATATCGGTGAGTGTTCCATTGAAAATTAAGCAAATACAATATTGGGAGTTGCCATAATGGCATAATTTCAAATTATCAAATTTGGTAGGAGGGAGGCCTCTCTCATTCGGTGGTCAACATCATAAATTCATAATTGAGGTAAGCTTTTCTACAGTGATAAAATGGTCAGAGCAAGAACTTAGTCATCAACCCATCGTTGTAACCAAAAACTAGTACTCAAATTTGTGGGCATATATCTTAAAATGATACAATCAATCGCCTCTCATAAAACAAAATCCTCCTGGAAATCAGCTAATTTAAGAGCAAACTTTTCAGGTATAAAGCTATCCTTTCCTTTTGAAGATTTTGAGTCACTATGCCCCCCTGATAGCTTACTTTGCTATAATGTTGCTCCATTTTATTTGCTCCTTGGTGACAGGGTTGTTTGAACGATTTCTATCTCTCTTTGCGTCTAATGTACTATTTTCCATGATTAATTTTGTTTTCATATAATAAAATATAAAAGTCCTCACCAAATGGGCAAAGCCCAGCTGGTACAAACCCACCTCCCCTTTGGTTAGGGGTTCGAGCCTCAGTGGAGGTATGGGTGTATGTGAGTTTGCTTAACCTTCTAATACATATATATAAATATATATAAGTCCTCAAAAGTCAAGGTTTGTTGATTAAAAATTAATTGATCAGAAAGCTTCTCAATCCACTTAAACATGACAGAGGTATAGTAACCTGAGGCATTTACTTTATGCAAAGTTATTAAATCAAATAAAACAAGCAACTAACTTCAGCATCTCTGCAAAGCTCATAGCCTCATCAATTCCAGGAATTGAATTCGCTAGATCAGAAAAAAAACCATCCATTCCATCTCCACCATTCATATCTTCGTTCTCCACATTGGGATCCACCTCCTACAGATACAGGAGACAATCATAAAACCAGGCAACAAAGTATTGAACTAAAGTATTAAAAAAAAAAATACAATCAACTAGCAAAGGAGACAACCAAAAAATCTGGACAATTATCATCTATTTGAAGATAAAGCACGTGACCAGAAGTCATAACAACCCTGTAACTCAATCTTCAAAAATAAAAAATAGAAACCTAGATTGTTCAAGTTTTCAACCCAAGCAAGATAAATCCAATGAATGCGTTATTTAAATTCACAACAAGACTTCTCACTCACTGAGCTCCAATCATCACATGCAGGTGCACACAAATCTATATGTATATATGTATATCCATGTGTAAGTATGCATGTGCATATATATATATATATATATATATATATATATATATATATATATATATATAGTACACAATTACAATCACATATACACATGACCATAAAATTTTTAACTTGAACAACAAATTGTACACAGAAATGAGACAAAACATTGTAATTATAAACTGGGCATTTCCCAGATTCATCAAAACCCACATTTTCCTAAAACAACGATGAATTAAAGGGGTTCCCCAATAAGCTGAACCAATGTTGTATAAATTCACAACAATACTTCACTCACTGAGCTCCAATCATCACATGCAGGTGCAAATAAATGTATATGTATATCTATGTGTAAGTACGCATGTGCATATAGAGAGAGTACACAGAACGAAACAAAACATCATAATTATGAAGTGGGCACTGCCCTAATTCATCAAAACCCCACAATTTCCTCAAAAAATGACGAATTGGAGGAATTCCCCAAGAAGCTGAACAAAGAGATAGTAAGTGAATAGAGGAGAAAAGGGTGAGAATGAATGCATACCATGGCGTACAAATTGGTGAACCCATTGACCAAAGTTGGGGTTTTGGTGAACCGCTGTTGGAACGCATCACTGAGATTGTGAGCTGGATCGGTGGAGATGATGAGAACAGTGGATCGAACCCTAGAGAGAAGGATGGAGATGATGGAGCTACAAGTGGTCTTGCCCACGCCGCCTTTGCCTCCAACGAAGACCCACTTGAGACTCTCTTGGTCCAGTACGTTCTGTACCGTCCCTTCCGGCAAGTCCTCCCGATTCAAAGCCATGAATACAAGTTCCTCTCTCTATACTTTCTCTCTCCTCAAGAATCACACAAAACCCAGTAATTGAAGAGAGAGAGCGGTGATGTTGGAAACTCAATTAGATTCGAAACACAGAGAGAGAAAGATAGACGGCGTATGTATCCGGCTACGGTGCTAACGTGCCCGTTTAGCGTACGGTTTGACTGTGTGCTCGTGTCTCGTGGTTGTCACGGATCTGAGTCATTCGTGGGTGCGCGTCACTTTCTATATTTTAAAAATTTTATTTTACTTTATTTTTTTCTCTCTCGTAATTTGAAGCAAATGAAAGGTTAAATCCGGAGTACATTTGTTTCACGTGGTTATATGAAACAATTTTTTATTAATTTCTCCGAAGAAACTGAATTCATGAATATTCTCAAACTCTAGCTTTTTTTTTTTTTTTTTTTTAATAACTCACATTAAAAAAAAAACACTTTGTTTTTCATAAATCCTTAAAAATATTCTCATTTCACAATTGTTCTTCTTCTTTTTTTTTTTTTTTTTTTTTTTACGCATCATTTATTTTATAAAATCAGTAGATTCCTAAAGTACTTTTGATGTATTGTTTTTTAGAATAAAATGAGACATTTTTTTTACTAGTATAAACTTATCTTTGATGCAAATAGTTCCATAAAGATAATTTATAATAAGGTATCAATATAGTTGTGTGACGCCAATCAGTACTTACTTTGACAATTATTTTAAAAAATAAATAAATTGAGATTTTCATTTAAATTGGTCATTTATAATTAGAATTATAGGTATATATGGTTGTCTTTAAAAGAAAATCGCTTGACGTATTTGTGCTGAATAAATTATTTTTACTTTTAAAACTTATGATATAAACCCTTCCAAAGAAAAAAAATAAATAAAAAGAAAAGTGGAGTAAATGAAATCAAAATTGGTTTTCTAGTATGTATTTAGTTAGAATAAAAATTTATCCAAGAAAATTGTAAGAAAATATCAAATTATAATTTAGATACCTAAATTGCCCTTATTTTATAAAAATAGTAAATAAATAAAGAATTAATTAATTGTAAAGCATATAAAAAATGATGGAGTTTTTAATTAATTTAAACCTTACAAACTACTATTTATTTTATTATGCTGGAAAAACAATAAGAAATAGAAGTCAAGTTAATTAAAACCTTATCCATGAAAAAGTTGTTGTTGGATTGCAATTTTTTGAAACCCAGTAAAAAAAAAAACATGTTGGTTTCCAAATATAGATGAAGTTATTGAGTAAAATAATATCAATGATTTAAGTTAAGTAAAATAATAACGCAAAATAAAAAGATGCTATTTTCACATGAAAATAATTTTTCCGTGTTTTGTGTGGAAACATTTTGGGAAAAATAAAGTGATACAAGAATTTTAATTTTCCAGAACTTTTTCTTCTCTATTTAAAGTTTTAATATTTTCTATTTCCTTTATTTCTTTTCTAGTTGATTCTATCTGACCAAACGACACCTAAAGCTAATAGTGTTACTTCTTCGTGAACATGTTTTTTTTTTTTTTTGGGACAAAACTTCAACATGTTACCAAGTGCCATTAACTGACATAACTTCCTCCAACCAAACATAATTAGTAATAATGACTAACAAGCAAAAATGATCATTAATCACCGTGAACAAAACACCCCCAATCTGCCAAGGTTGGTTCATCTTGTGATTGGTCTCTTCACCATTAACATGTACAGTGACAGAGCCATAAATTTTTTTCGTGGGGGCACATTATAGTATTATATACCATAAAATATATTTACAATATAATGTACATGCATATGAGTATATATATATATATATAGAAAGAGATAGTGATATTTTTGGAATTAAATTAATTTACAGATATAGAATATAAGTATTAAGGAAACAATTTAGGAGAAAAAAAACCTATGAAACATATATAGAATTTTATGAAGAATAAGAAAATTCAGGGGGACACTTTCTATATTTTTATAAAAAAAATCTATATTATTATAAAATATATATAGAATAAAAGAGAGGGAGAAAATTCAAGGGGGGCACGTGCCCCCTCTGGTCCTTCTTGCGTCTGACTTATCCAACATGTAAATATATACTTACAGGAAAGAAAAAAAAAATGTTATGTGTGTGTATATATATATATATATTATCTCAGTATATGAACTCGTATTGGCAGCTTCATGCAGAAATGTATGGAAATAAAATGGACATTTGCATCTGCAATATACTAGACTGCATAATTTATCAGGAAGTTTATCAGTAAGCTAGTTTACACATGTACATACACCTTATAATTAAATGTAAGGTGATTAATAGAGATAATTGTAGGTGAAGCAGGTAGCAACAATAGAAGATATACAAATAAAGAGTGAAGGAAGTAGGGTGACATTCAGGAGCGTGCTCATGCCCCAATATCCGGCCAGTGTTATTGTCGCATCTGCAATTACTCGTGCCAGCGTCCCTGCTTCGGTTGAAAGCAGTCCACCATTATAGGTCCCACGCGAAAGCCTTGATGACATGACCCGAGATAGGAGTGATAGGTTAACACCTGCATTGGTGAATAGGTTGACAATGGAGTGAGTGAGGTTTGGAATGTCAATATGGTGGTGTTCTATTAGCCACTTGATCACATTGGAGATTATTTTGTACAAAAAAAGAACAAGGAGTCTCGTGCACTAGGTTAGCCGTTTTGTGTCTGCATGTGCGTGTGTTCTTGCTGAAATTTTGACTTTTGCCAAAAGCACTAGAAGAAAACCACAAATTACCTTCAAGAACTTCTGCAAATACAAATGTGATCAGAGCTGAGCAGACATACTGTGGGACAGAGTAATCAATTACCATATGGAAGCTCAGGACTATACCTAAGCATACCATGATTTCCGATGCCAGTAAAACTTGCCTGCAAGCATATCATCCGAAGTATGCATCAGCAGAGAATAACAGAGATAAAGATAACATCGTCAATGGTAAGGCATTGCTGCCTTAGATTTTATTCATCTGTTGAATTTTTATGTCCTATCAATCCATTTTTGTCAACTTTTTTCCACATTCCATGGAGTTTGAATGACCCCATTGTGTTTGCACAGTAATAAATTCATTATTCCTTATCAGGAGAATAAAGAAAATGATGTTCATCACTTTCATTTTTGTACTTATATAACAAGTTTAGGATTTTATACCTTGTTACGATAATTTTACCATCATTTTTTATGGAAGCTGCCACTACCTGATATTGTGGATTTTATATCTGGTTAAAGTTCAAACACATCCTGGCAGAAGTTTTTCTCAGTTAAAGGTATGCATGAAGGATTAGGGGTATTCTAGGTGAAAAATATATTAGTTTGTAACGTTTAATACTGATAAGACAAATTTAAGTCGTATGGCAGGCATGGTGAGGATGTCTTACCTCCTAAATTGAATCAGGAATTTGACTCATACATGCCCGCAAAATTTTTTGTCACAAATGTGACTGATTGTGAAGAATGACACGTTCAATCTATTTCTGTATTGCGGGGAAGAATTGCCATGGAATCTTTTCTTCTTTCCCCGCCAGGACTTTATTTGAACATTCTATATAATGATGAAACAGACAACATTAATGAAATTTTCTGTAAGATTTGGAAGTTTACCTTTCCTCAAACATGTTGCCAATGTAGCTTCCAACAAAAATGTTCACAGGAAGGACAGTCAGCCCAAGACAGGCAAGAAAAATCGCCACATTTGTGGTTGACCATACGAAGTAGTACGTGGTGATGACACTTGATTCCGCAAGTAAAATCTCCATGGCATACTTGAGCATAAAATAGATGAATAGCTGAACCTGATTAATGTTATCATGATTCAAGTGAGATCATTTTGAAGTTGAACAGTGTTTTACCTCAGATAAGAAAATACTATGGACAATATGACACCCATTGCAACAGCACATACTTAAAACAAAAGGAATGAAAATTACCTTCTAAAATTCTAGATAATAATAAACCAGACGGGCTTAAAGCAAACATAATACCTTTTGTCCCCTTTTGTAAGGTTATATATATTACTTTCAAGAATTAACATAGCCATTGTACTGTTGTACACAGTAACACAATGGTAATAACAAGGTATAAATGATAAATCTCATTAACCCCTCTGAGTTGATTCCAAATCTCGTGCTAAACTTTTATGCAGCTGCACCATTAGAAAATGAATGTTCACAATTGCCACTTTGATTCAGTGACAACTCTCTGTACTAAAAGAGAAACATAATTGATAAGAATATATACAGATCAGTTTCAATTGGAAGAGAGATGTGTGTTTGGATTTTCATGCCCAAAGTTTGATTTCTCCAACAATTATTACTTTGCCATGAACTTAAATGGCACATAAATTCAAATGCGTTGGAGTGAAACTTAAAATTAGATCCTCACCTTCACAGATGGTGTAAGCATCCTATATGCAGACACAATTGAAGTGACAGGCTTGTGAATATCCTCCGAAGCTTCTTCGCTAACATCATTTTCTTCATCTTCATCTTCATCTTCATCGTCATCTTGTTGCTTCTCTCCCAAACTTAAAAGCAACGGTTGAGTAATACCATTCTCTATTACACCAGTTTCTATTACTCCATATATAGAAAGAAATAAAAAGTATATGTTAGGTCAACGAATATCAATAGAATAATTTTATTGTTAATATTTGTAAACATATATTCTGAAAAAGCCACGAGTAACAATCCAGTGGACCTACCAGTTTTGTGTTCCTGAGATGCAATATTCTGTTTAAGCTCATCATAAGGGTCTCTAAAGGAGATCCACAACCACAATAAATATACAAGCCATGCCAAAGCCATAACCCACCCAGGCAAGGTGTTGTCATTAAACGTAATATTATATATCTTGAATTCAGTTTGAAGTAAGCAAGCAAGAGCAGGACCGCATGCCATTCCAAGCGCGCTGGCACTAACAAAACCTGCAGAAGCTTGCATTCTCATTTTAAGAGGTACACAATCACTGATATAACGCCTATTAACAGCTCTAGCAGAACCCAACCTGCAAAATTGATTAGTGTGGCATTGTTAATTTGTTGTATACATAAATAAATGAAAATGAACCATTTTGGGGAGAACAATCAGCATGTAGCCATGTACTAAATATCTAAGAATATGAACTTTTTTCTTTTCCTGAATATGGTAATATTATTAATGAGAATATGAACTATTATTGTAATAATATTTTAACATGAAACCAAATAAATAAGCAAAATTACCCATTTATGCTTACAATAAGGTTGTATTAATGCAATCGCAACGCTCTGGTGACACCAATTACTTCTGGCATTAACAGCAGGTGAAAATCCAAAAGAAGAGAAAAAAGGTCAACAAACTCGATGGATTTCAGTACAGACAAAATGTTGATTTAATACACTAAAATCCATATAAATGATTTCATCTGCAAGCTTGATATCCTCAAAGAGAATGTCATTATTTTATTTTTTGGTAAGTAGGAATGTCCCAGTATTTAAAGAAAACATGATCTTTGGTCTCATTACACTGAAAAAGTACTTACAAACCAAGGGAAGAAAAAACTGCCATCAAAACAAAGTCAGAGATTGTTGCATAAGTGTCTTTCATTAATAGCAGGGCAGTTTTGGAATTTTTTTACATATACACATCTTATATTCTACCAGCATAAATATAGTGAGAATTTGTTCATGCATCATACATATGTTACTTGATACATATCTTTATACAGTTACTTTAATTGGAAACTATCTGGAATTTTCCAATTTTTGTGCACAATTTATTCAATATAACAGATTTCAAACAAACAAGCAGGAAATGAGCTTCTTAAACACATTGATAAGAAGAAAAGTAAGCTGAAATCACTTTCTGAATGCTCAACAACTACGTCTTCTCATATGCAAATGTATAATTTTATTTTCTATTTTTTTTTTTTTTTGCAAGGAGATTGATGCATAAAAAGTTTCAAGAACAAAATCTACCAATTCATTAAGTACATGTTTGGACAGTTAACATAACAAATTTCTAAATATAAGCTTGACAGCTCAAAGAATGAGAGTGAGAATGTAATCACTTACCCACAGAACAGGCGGCCAATTAGAAGAACATACATCGAGTTAAGATCATACGCGAGGGCATATAAGGTGTTTCCCACGAGAAGAACAACACTGCTAAATATGAGAGGTCTCATGTATGATTTATTTGACCATGCACTAAAATACACTGAAGAAAACACCTGCGCAACAGCCATTGACCCAATAACAGCACCACACACAGTTGCAGCAGCTCCAAGACTCAGAGAGTAGTCGTCTGCTGTTGGAACTATAATATACGTGTTGACCATATATAAAAATGTATTTGCCAAGTTCAAAAGAAGCGACATAAAATGATATCTCTCATCAGCAACATCATCCTCTGATGGAACTGGTAACTCCTCTTGTATGATAAGTGCATGCTTTCCCAAAAATTGAAGGAAATTTGTTGAGTTTGTTAGCCTATCCACTGCTGCTTTAATAGAATCAATGATAGGGTCCTGCAAATAATACCACTAAATGAAATCCACTAAAATACAATACAAATACAGAACCAACAGAAACATAGCTACAGTTTCCATTGACAAAGTTTTATAGTAGGTTTTGCAGGACATGTCACATATATGTTGTACATGGTTATTTCCGGATTTCTATAAAATGTAGAAACCGTAAAGCTAGATAGTGAATGAAGAAACAAATTTGAAAATTAGGCACAAGCCCCAGGAGGATTTCAGGCCCCTCAAGTGGGCGATTCCTCTCCTCTAACTTTTGTTCTTATTTTTTACTGTGGAGGTTTCATCATTATTAGTGATGGTATTTCTAAAAGAAATATAGACCACCACTGAAAAATGCATCATCTTCCATAAATAGTCGGAAAAAAAAAAAAAAAAAAAAAAAAAAAAAAAAAAAAAAAAAAAAAAAGAGAGAATTTTTTTTGGTAGGAAACAAGTATTTTATTCTTTGGAAGAAAGTAAAAGTTTAAATGATGTAAATTCAGGGCTAACTACTTGATGTAATGATTAAAGCTTAGTTGAACCTTAGAGTAGCCACTTTTTGCAAACAATATAGGAGTCAGCTTTGTATTCAGCCAAACCTTCCCAACACCCCACATATTTGATATGAAAAATCTAGTTTGGGTTTAAATATTGTACTCAATGGCTTTAGAAAGCATGGAATCAACATCCAATGGCTGTCATTCTGCAAGTTTCCAACAACAATGGGTCCATCATATAATTATATACAGTAATTTTTTTTTTAGTGGGCTGATTTTCTTCACTAGTCAAAAACCATTTTTGTCAAAACTTTAAGCTACTCATATCAGCACATATTGGGAATCCCAGTTAACAATCTATGATCTATAGAGCATAAGGTAGAAACGCATATTAGGTAAACAATAGCTGTTGTGGCATGTAAAAGCCTGCACCTTCGTTTGTCATTTTTCCTAATTACTTCCATTAGGTTGGAATATATCTCATATCTCTATGTTCACAATCCTTAGATGTGTTAGATTTCAACAGAAATATTATGAGCACTTCCAAAGGCAATACATAAAGTAAAAAATTTAAAATAAAAATAAAAGAACCCATCAAATGATTGAAATACATTTAAAAGAAGTGTGAGGAAAAACCTGGACAGGAAGAGCGGGCTGATCATAAATCGATATATAGCTTCCCTGATGATCTTGAAGATCTGCAAGATTGCGAGTTATGGCTCCTACAACAGCCCCAATACCCTACACATTAAGTTGTTTACAGTTTTTGGTCAGGTAAGTACTTGCACACCCATTGCCTATGACGGGGCTCGAACCCCTTCCCTCCCCCTCTTTGAGGATGGGGAGGTTATACCATTGGGCTAATGGTCCATTGGTGTTGTTCAGTTACCAGTTGATAGAGTTTTCGTATAAATGTAGAGAATATATCAGGTAGTTCATGCTGGATGTAGTTATTACCATATCATATATCAAAGCAACTCAAAGCCGAATCTAAGAATGAAAACACGATAAAAGAGAGAGGCTTTAAAATTTCAATCAAGTTTAGAAACATTCTTGAAGCAATTTAGAAGTCAAAAATATTGTGTCTGGACTAGTTGTATTACCACGTGCTTGAAAACTTGTCTCAGCTGAGAATAAGGATGGTTTGCCCGAGTTTTGACATAGTAACCAGTGAATCTATATCCAAAGCGCTTGTCGAACTTCTTCAGTATCTTACGAATGCCAATGGCATTAATTTCAAAGAAAAAGAGAACCCTTAAAAGATCCCGTCCGACCTCTCTATATGATTCTTGAAATTCAGAGATATTTGAACCATCTACGTGCTGTTGAAGGGCATCATACTGTTCACCAAGATTAAATAACCTGCTTGCTAGTGACCCTTGTTGTTCCAAGAAGAACAAGACAATCTTTTCAATCTGAAATTGAATCAAAGAAGGCAATACTCACTCTCCAATCATCACTAAATAAAATTTTGCATGATAACATGATTCATGACTATACAGGGATAACGTATAAACTAGAACAGTTCAGTTCCCAGCAGTGATGACGACACACTAGAATTTAGGCTCTGAAATGAAGCAACCAACAGTAAGATGCAAAGAATGCAACTCTAATTAGGACAAAACTGAGATGAAAATATTGTTAAGAGAAATGATCTTTTAGAAGTATGTGACTGTTTAGGGCATATAAGGAAAACTTTTCCTAAATAAGTTTAAAATTATGAAAATGTTGGTGTAGCTGAGGTGCACTTGTGGGTTACTGTCGTGAAAAATGAATTTCATGATTAGTCTGAAATTTTATTGCATTATATCAATTAACAAAAGTAAAAAGAAAAGCAATAAGATCTACTACCAAACACCAGAAGATAAGAAAAGGCAAAAGAATACAAAGGAGAAGAACAGTGATAGCACTTAGAGAGTAGCCAGAGTGAGGTATAAAACAGGGAGCATGTCTTGATCATCCATGAACGGAAATGTTAAATAATCCCAATCACAGGACTACTGATACTAATAAAATTATTGCAAGTTAAGACTTTTCATAGGAAGAGTATGGACAGAAGTAAAATGCATCATGATACTAAGGTAGTTGTATACCTTTTTAGATATGACCTTTAGAATAATTCAAGTATCAATTGGAGATACATAGCTGGTAATACTTTGTAATGCGTAATTCACATTATTACAAAGCTTTCAGTTATTTGTTCTAATACTTTCACAAATGATAACAATATTAGCTTGAAGTAGATGTAATTAAAGCCCTGCAAACCAGTGGTTCTAAACTTGTCCACAAAGTACACTCGTCTCCTTTGGCAACTAACGCCTAGAAAAAACTGAAGTTCATAATCTCTTTCCTATGCCTAAGCTTTTAGTTTTATGGGTTAATTACAATGACACCCCCTGAGGTTTGACATATTGACAACCATATACAATTTAGCTCTTTTTTGGACAAAGACACCCCCTGTGATAATTTTGATCCAAAAAAGCCCTTAAAATGTTTGAAAAGACGAAATTGCCCTTTAATATTTAATTCATTTTATGGTAAAATATCAAAACTCATGAAAAGTCAAATTTGCCCTTATATATATACATTATTGCCCTTATATATAGATATGTATATGTATATGTATATGTATATGCATATGTATATGGAAGAGCAGCGGGGAAGATAGAGCACCAGCCGCCACCACCCTCATCGATGCCGCCACACCCAATTCCCTAACCTCCTCCCGCCACCTAATTGAAGACAACCCAAGAAAAAACCCACCCCTTCGATTTCACCCACCACCACTCACCACTGCCTAGGTTTCCAATCAAACCCCAATTGATTAGTGGCCATCTGAGACTCTTGGTCCGCCGCCGGCGACGACAGACCTTTCTGTCCTTCCTCCCAACGACCACAAAGGCTTTCACATCTCCAATCAAAATCAACCGAATCACCACTCACCACCACCGACACCGCTGTTGTCGTCAATTTTGCCGCCGTGGATCGTCAATGGAGATGATCCATCTTGGCCACTGGCAAGGTAGATGAAGGCATGTGAATCCGCTTGTCCAACGGATTTCTTGAGACAATAAAATGTTTTCAATAACAAGTGGAAGCTTCGACTCGCACCATCTCTCGTCAACCACGGTGCCGTCACCGCCACCATCTCTCTGCACCCACTGCCACAACCATAGCCACCACCACCGTCCACAACTAAGGCTACGAAACCACCCCCAAATTTTTCTTCTTCCCTTTCTTGCACACACACACACACATATATACGTATACATAGAGAATTGAAATTGCTTCTTCCCTTTCTTGCGCGCATACACACATAGATACATATATACACAAACAAATTGTGTTTCTTCCCTCTCTTGCACACACACATACATAGATACATATACACAGACACACACATATAAAGAAACCCACCCGAAATTGCACAGAAATTGGGGATTTGTAATTTCTCCATCAAAACGAAGACAAATAATTGAAATCGCCACCACTGCAACCACATATCTAAGCGCAAACGAGCCGCACCGCTGAGGACGATGACGACAACTCAACCTTCCTCGACCTCTCCCTCATCAAAGCTATTGACAAATCCCAAAATGGCATCGTAGGGCTGTGATATCGCTCTTTCCATTTTGTATTTTGTGATATTTGGTAGCTCTATTTCGAGAACCATGGTGGTGGGTCTGGTGGCGACTATGGTATGGCTGTGAAATGGGTGGTGGCGGGTGTGAACTGGTCGTGGTGGCTGTTGGTTAAGTTACTAGGGTATTTTGGTCAATTAAAAAGAATTGTATTGGATAAATTGGTAATTGCATATGTCAAAGGACAATAATGTCAATTCACTATGTGTAATGACCATTGGGGTGTTTTTGTTAACTTTATTAAACTTAAGGGGGTGTCTTTGTTCAAAAAAAGACTAACTTGTATATGGCTGTCATTATAGCAAACCTCAGGGGGTGTCATTGTAATTAACCCTAGTTTTATACTGTTGTGGCATGTTTCCACTTCTTGGCACGCTCACAAATCACATATCAGTATTAATTTTGAAGTTTAAACCTTGTGCAACCTATGAGAATTTTTTTTTTTACAATTACTTAGTGAAAGATAAATCCTAATAGGCATGCATAATTCAATGGATCTAAAATCTGTACAAAAACAGCAGCTCTCCATCTGTCCTGAGTCAATTTACATTAGTTACGCATTTGTAAACATTAATATGTATAGTAATAATACCTGTTTATCCAGCATTCTTGAAAAGTCCTTGAGAACGTAATGGTGATTGTCATCTCCAATCTCAATTTGTCGAGCGTATTGCTTTACTTTCTTCTTCATTAACTTATAATTAATGTAATATCTGGAAGGGATCAAATCATAAGCATACAAATAGATAAAATTGTAGATGGAAACTGAAGGAGAAGAAATATGTTATATGGTTGGCATGATATGAACAATACACACTTTTCACATAATACATGTAATGATGAAAATGTATTAGCATTAACCAAGAATATTCAAGACCAATTGAAGTATTACAACTATAATATACAAAATAGAATATAGAGAAAAAAAAAAATAAAATTACACTTTTTATCAACTAAGTGGAATCATGCCAAAAATGAGATGCAGTTTCCATTAATTAAATCAATCAAGATATATTGACCTAAAAAAAATTCAAAATATAAATAAAAATGAATAATAAGAATATTAGCAGTTGGGAAACATGTAATGTTATTGCTATGAGAAGCCATCCTCCCTCTTACAAGTATTTTACTATCCAAAAAATGAATAAGAAAGAAAACAGTGAATAAGAAGACTATTGTTTAGGGCCATTAATTAACAAAGCTTAATTAGGGACACAAAGGTTATGAACTACAGAGTATTTAACTATGCTGTACACTCGCATTCGGAATGAATAATACAAAATAGAATCTGCATTGTTGGGAACCACATAAAATCAAATGATAATTGTGCAGTTACATCACATCTGAACAAACTAGTTCATCAAGTAAATGGCTGTCATCACAAAGATCGAATTCATGTTTATTTGGTTCCCTGATGCTCGGAAAGAGTTGAAGCACATTCCCTAGTCTACTTTAAACTTATTGTGTGTTATCACATTCAAATGGACATGATATAATAACCGTGCCATAGAATTGATGAACTAAGTAACCTAAAGGAATAAAGTATAGAAGTGTGATTTTTTAGCATCAACTTGAATCTATTTATCACAACTTATAGTTTCCATTGCAATGGTATTATGATATCTGACCATCAAGAGAAGTTCACACAATATAGCCTAATGTAAAGGAATGCGATGCGAAGAGCATGAAGATGATAAAGTATAGGCAAAGTTACTGAAGCATACCCTTGCCATTCTTGAATTTGCACTTCTTTCAACTTTTTCCCAAAGGCAACCATCTTTCAGCAAACAAATTTTCTGTAAACAAGATATCACTTATTTAAGTGAATGACACCAGAAAAATAAATAAATAAATAAATAAATAAGTGCTAGATAATCTAAGAACAATAATCTTTTACAAGTTAGTTGTTAACCCAATTGAAGCAATGAAATGGTACAATAAATGCCACAACAATATGCAGAAATCAGATAGCTAAATTCCAAATATCAATTAAGTAACAGAGAAAATTGAGGTACAGTGTTGGGGAAACCAATACCAGTAGCATTTGAAGTATATTAGACCATTAATATTTAATTGATTAAGGTAATAAGTTATTTCCTAATTCTATTATAATCGGGTGAAATGCCCAAAAAATAAAAAATAAAAAATCTGTAGTTTGAGAAGTGTTCGAATTGTACTCTGTATGTAAAGTGAGCAACTAAGTGTAAAACAAAAAAATGGCATGTGCCTGTCATGGGACCAAAAAAGCCAATTGAATACCAATATTACCTTTCAACGCTTACCAAACTACCCCACTCATGAAGAATGAAGTGTGCAAACAAGAATGAATTGTACAAGCCTTTGGCACCTCTCACCGGAGGAGATGAAATAACCCTGTGGTGGTAACCGGAGGTTCTGTCATTTTATATTTTATTTATTATTACTATTTTTTTTTCATCTTCATTCCAATTATCTACTACTACTTCCATGGATTCCGCCATAATAACCACCATTCCGCCTCCACAACCACCACCACAACAACCACCATCCTCATCCCCAAACCACCGCCACAATCTTCACCCCGATAACCACCACTAACAAGACTCGTTACAAACAATCAAAAACCCACAAAAAAAAATAATAATAATAATAATTCAAAAAAACCACCAGTACCCATCCAACACCACCATCGTCGCCGTCGGTTATCTACTTTTCCCCGATCTATTTCACCAAAATCGTACAATATTGTGTACGACATTGACACTGTGATAACCTAAATTGGTGTCGTTGAATAACCCATGAAGCCCCATCACTGACAACCCAATCCCTAGCCGCAGCACATGAACCCAAGCTAATAGCCTTCACCGCCTCCAAATTGCTTCTTTATCTAGAAAACTGAAACGAAGAGAGTAGAGGAAGTGTTGTTACATTTTTAATTTGCAGAGCAAAATTGAGTCCGTACCGGGCATCGAACCCTCCGTTACAATCGCAACAAACCCATTTGTGAAATCACAATTTCACTGATCGATTCCTGAATTTGTTCAAATTACGATGAAATTTATTCTTCCAAGATCTGGGTTTGTGTTATTTCTATCCATTTCCTCTTTCATCTTGGTGTGGCAGTGGCGGTGTTGATGGTGGTGGTTCACGGTGTTTCAGGTGGTGTGTATAGACTGAAAGCCCACAATGCTCCCAAATCTTCCTCTTGAGTTCCCTCCCTTGCCGCCCCCTTCACCTAAAGCAGCTGCGACTGTGATGGGTTTCATTGCATGTTTCAACCGATTACTGGCTTTAAGAAGTGTTGCTCACATGTGATGTCTTTTCTTGCTGCTCTTGGGTTTACTTATTGGCGGTGGTCCTGGAGATGATATATAAGAAAAAAAAATATTTTCTTTCTTTCTCCCCTGAATCTCTATTTCAGAGTAAACTCATTAAAGATCAAAGCTTAATTGGTTGTGAACACGAATATATATATGTCAAAAAACATTAAATGTGTACATAAATGCATACATATCTATACGCAATGTATATATGGAGAGAGATAAACAAAGAGAACATATGTTTTAGAGAGATAAAGTGACCGGAAAATCTAACGGGAGATTCGCAGCAGACTATTAAGTTGTAACATTCTGTTTTCAAATACTAGCACCTATTTTGGTGGTCGTTATTTTTGCCCATCCCAATTTATTTACTAGTACATGACAAAAAGTCCTTAGTTTGCTCACTTTACATGCTATAAGAACACACTTTTCAAATTTAAAGAGAGTGTTTTTACACTTCACCCTAATATAATAATATCCTTATTATATATATATATATATATATATGAGAATTAAGAAAATAAGTAAGAAAATAACATATTAGCCTCAGTTGAGTACTAACGTTTTCTTAGAAATCAAACACCAGAAAACCTAATTTTTAATATCAAATTATGTTCTTTCTGCGTTTTTTCCAGGAACCAAACATATAGGTATCGTGGAGATAGAAAATCCAAAAACAAAATTCAAAGAAAAAAGCTTGAAAGATTGCATTTGGATTACATATAATACACTAAACTAGAGAGTGAAAATTGTAGACGAAGCAGAGTATTGCAATAGAGCTAATTAACCTTCTACAACCAAACAGAGTCAGAGAGTGTGAATCAAGAAAGGAATGGAATTGAAATTCTCCGTTGCATTGCGAAAAAATGAATCATCAACTTAATGCAAGAAAATTATATATATATATATATATATATATATATATATATCTATTGGTCTTGTAGAGTGAGAGAGAGTGAGAGTTCCAACGAGGAGTTGTGTAGTTTGGAAAAGATGAGAGTCCATGCTACAATCTCTTGCCTAATTGTTTAGTTGTTGAAGATCACCAATTCACGAGGACATGTGTATTGGCACGTGATCGTGGCATAATCTACATGGTTCAAAATCACAAAGATTAAGATTGCTTGCAAAACTTGAGAATGAAAGCGAACGCAAGAACAATTTAATTGCGTGACTTATGGTTCCTTCGACATGTGTTATGATATTATTTTTCTGATATTGGTATTTAAATTTGGACTCATATCATGTTTGAGACTGCTAATATTGGTTTAGAATAATTCATAACATATCAGAATTTTTTAGTCCAAACTCATATCATCAAATTGGTGATATTTGTGTATTTTGGTATTGTAGCGGAAAAACTAAAGCAAATTTCTGAATTTCTCAAAACAAATTTTCGTTACTAAATTTGGTTTCGATTTCCACTCAAAACACTCCTACAACAAAACGGACGGTTATTTTGATATTATCTAAAAACATAACACCTAAATCACATCGCTTGCCAAATGGGCCTTAGGGTTTAAAACTAGAATGATGGTTCAAAAATCTCTCAAAGTTGGTATTAATAGATGTTTGTGAACTACTACTTACATTTGGTGGTCTCAATTTAGATCCATGATTAAAAAAGTAAACTGAATATATGAAGAATGCTAGTACTTATACTTGAATTGATTTTGTTGTGATTTCAATAAATAATATCCAATAAGACTCATACACAATAATTAATTTAAATTATTTAGTTTAAGCTTTAATGTTGATTAAAGTGGAACGAGTAATTTGACACCCAATTTATCAAATGACCTAAATATTATATTTAGTGAAATGGTGAAAGTGTTTTACAACTTCTTTTTCCAACCAACAATATAATATTAATGTGTGGCATTTTGTTAATGAAAGGTATTATAAGAGGACACTTTCAATTGCACTCAGCTGAGGGCGTAAGCTCATAGTAAAAGAATTCAATTATAGTTGATACGAAAACATGGAGGGTAATTAAAATCAATAACTTTAAAATTATAGGAACTTGTAAATGTGTAGGATCAATCACTGCCTCTCCTTAGTCTCCATCTGATGTGCAAAAAATATTGTTGTGACCGTTTTCATAAAAAAAAATGTTTTTTATTTAATTACAATTGCATGAATTCAAATTCATATTCGATACATTAAATACGACCTTGATAGACATCAAATCAAAAATAGCAGTGAATCTACCATTCAAAAAAAAAAAAAAAAAAAAAAAATTTATCATACCATCCAATTGCGTCACGTCAGGACTTGGTGTCACTGTTGTATCCTACCATATTTTACTAGTTGCCAAGCCTAATATCAAATTAAGTGTCCAACAATATCTATATGTAAATCATCAGGTGACACACCACATACATACATATATATATATATATATATATATATATACAGCAGTCATTTTCTTTACCTAGACTGTACGTTCTGATGACGACTTCCACATGTTTGGACCACTGGATATTCTATTTTGATGCTCTAATCGCCGCAAGAAGTGTAATCTGCTTTTTGTTTCGTTTTACATAAAGATGAATGGAGTACTTTTTAGTTAATGCCCTAATTTTAATTTTTATTTTTTATTTTTACTTTTACACAAACGCGGACATGAAACACAAATATGAAACACAAATAACACACAGATACTTTAATACGCCAATTTTTTTAAAAAATAGGACTATAACGTGGACAATTACATATAAATATAAATATTTATTCAATAATAGTATTAAAAAACTTTAATTTATTTATAATTTCTAAGAGTTACTATAAAATGAATTAAAATAATAAAATTATGTTATTATTGTAATAATTTACCATTATTTCATTACTTTATCAGGATAGTATTTATATTATTTTCAAAATTATTAGGTAAATTTGTGTTAGAAATGTTTAGGAAGTGTCGGAAAAATATCGGTGAAGTATTGGTCGGCGAAGTGTCCGAAATAATAAAATTAATTTTTATTTATAGACACGTATATGAAGTATTGAACATGTATTTAAGGAGTGTTCGAGGAGTGTCGGTGCCTGGTACAACGTGTACGACTCCTTCATAAAAGTGTATGTGCTTTCTAACTTCAATGCCATGACTCATCGTCACTCATGTACGTATTATAATCATATTCATTGTTTATTGGGGTCCAATTGGTTGTCATGAATATTGTATAATTAAATTTTAAAAAAATAATAAGAAGGAGAAATATATTTACATAGTCAGCCACAACCATAAATAAATCAAGATAGATAAGTGTAACTTTAATTTGAAATACGAGTAATTTTTTTTCAATAATTTTACTGCTATATTATAACAGAGAAAAACAATCCACCCAACAACATAAAGAGAGAAGGAAAAAAAAATTAAAAAAATTGATTTATTGTATTTGTTAATTATTTATAAAAGTAGAAGGATTGTGTAAGTTAAACCGATTGTGGTAAGAGTAATGATAGGGGAACCGAAAAGGAATCACTGAATTAGTATCGAATTTGACATGGTTGGTCATTCTTATCACGTGTTGAACAATTATTTTTGGAAACTGTTTAAATAGATGAGGTGGACAAAAACACGTCAAATTCGATACTTATTCGGAGTTAATTCATCGGTTTCCCTATCATTATTCTTGTGGTAAATGCACGAATTTTAAAATATTGTTAGGATGAATTTGGGAAATTTGGATGAAAATTAGATCATATAATAATAAATGAAAAAACTTCAAAAATTTACATGACCATGAATTAATACACAAAAAATTCTAGAATTATTAAAATGGGCAAAAGCTGTCTTTCAACACACTAGCTGATGACTTGAGTCCAAAAAGAGTCAATGAGTTAACTCTTCTTGTGTGTGTGTGTGTGTGTGTATTTGCCAACTCCAATAATAAACTAACCAACTTGTATATCATTAATATTAATATTTCCAAGTATACATATGCAAGGTAACTTAGGAGAATACATGTAATGCAGAGGAATTAAGTATACTTACAGTTTCAGAGCTTTGTTTGGAAGAGCTGAGAGATTTTTGATGATGTTATTAGTACTGGACTTGCCTTCACTATGAGAGAGAAGATATCAAATATGAGAGAGAGATAGAGAGAGAGAGAGAGGGAGAGGTCACTATGCATGTGTATGGCAAGGCCCATATATATAGTGACCTCCAACAAAGTGATTTATCAGCTCATTATAATGTGACACCTGTTTATTTCTTGTTTGTACCAATACATTGTTAAATAAGAAAATTATCCAAATAAAATAATAAAAATAATGATAGTTTTACTTTTGAATGAAAACACTATGGACATGTAGTTGTATGAAAGATATGTGTTACCGACACTTGTAATAGACGTTAGTAGATCATATAATTAAATTCAACAGTTGAGAGGCGATAGTCGTGAAAACAATTATAAATAGGTTAATACCCACATTTTATTAACTGAACAAGGGGGCTAAGAAGTAAAGGATGCTTTATAATTTATAAATGCATTCAATTTAAAAACCCTCCTTCCATCTTCGATCTTTTTTTTCTATTTTTCGAAAGTTCAAATAAACACACCTATTATGTATTTTGCCCTTACCAGGGTCGAATATTCAACTTCTTCTTTTGAGGAAGAGAACTTATACTATGTAAGCTAGTGGCCATTGATCCTACTTTATTTTTCTTCTTCTTAAGATTATATAATATGAAATTTTTTAAATTAAAATACAAACTTCCTAGTTTTGTAATTTAATTTATTCATTCACTGTCACTTTTTTTATAAAAAAGAAATAAATAAATAGTTAGGGGAAGTTGTTAAAGTTGATTCTACCACTTGAACTGTTTTTTTAGGGTTGAATGGAAGTCTTTTTATCTTGCACAAACCAAAAAAAAATATCTCTGTTTTATTTAATGACAAATTTACATAAAGGTTTGATTCAGAATTGATCTTGTTTGTACCCACCATAAATAACAAGAATACTGTACCTACTTAAACCAGATTTGTTTTGGTTTTAATAAGTTTACCTGTCAAAATCATATCCTTTCCAGCACCATCAAAAACAAAATCATTTTGTTTTGACAAGATGCCCTTACTTTTTTTGCTTGGGGAAGTGGACATAAAGTGGGGAGAAGAGAAGAAAAAAAAAAAAAAAAAAAAAAAAAAGTCGTTTTTGCATTATGAACTTTCATTATTCATGGAGAAAATGACAAAGCACATAATGATGTTAAAGAATAAAATAAAGTTTGGTGCTACCAATATTAGGCTACACAATGTAAATAAGGTCAAATGTTTTTAAAATTTTTGACGGTTCATGTGAATTCTAAATAGTGATGGGGTGCTTGGTTCAATACTAAAAAATTTCCAAAAAACTTAGGTTAAAAAAATTATAAA